CTCTTGTAGCAAGTGGTATTGTCCCTACCTCTGGGCCAGAAGGTCTGAATTCAAGTCACAGACATGTCACATCATGTGTTGACTTTTTTGTTAAAATTCTACAAATGATGTTAATGAAATTGCCTTATCCCAATGTGCATTCTGTAGCTCCCAATCTGAAACCACATACGTGAAGATGAAAATAAATGAGTTGACCTGCAGACCTGTTTGCGGGCCAATCCAGTGTAGCACTGACAGTGCCTCGTTTTACAGCTATTTGCCTACTCCTTTAGTTATTGCCTGCCGACTTTCCAACGTATCCCACTCCAGTTGTGACATGAGCCAGCAATCACAGTTTTAATTTACTAAATATGCCATGATGTTTGGTGTTTGAGATTCCCCAATTTTGTCTCTGCCACTTTCTCCTGCAGTGATTCAGTTATTTGTAGTTTATGCTTCTCCTTCTGCCGTGGGAGCCTCCTGTAAGGTGCCCATTGTTCATGCTGGAGTCAGATATTGAATGCCAGTTGTCTACGCAACCATGGGATATATGACAACTGAGCCTAGGCACGTCCACAGACACACACTTTGCAGCAGGGGTTACTGAATAGATATTGAGATTGAGGATCCTAGCTGACCTTTCCCATCACTAGCCCAGAAGTGTTATGGTCTGCTGCTCCATTGAATATTCACTTTCTTTGTCCAGGTTCATTTCCACTGCTTGGTTCAGATGAGCTTGAGAGATCTGGAATCTTCAGAGGCTCAGTTCCATTCCATTTATCAACTGAACTATCACAATAAGTTCCCTATGAGAGGGTACGCCTCCCCTTCTTAATCATTTTCCCATCCTTAAATGAAATATGACAAATTGGCTCAAACAAAACCTTTTGTAAGCCATTATCACTAAGAGCTGTCCTCCTTCGAAACTGCATTTGATATGGTGATGACACAAAGTAGGAGAGATTGCTGTTTAAACCTAATCACAAATCCAATAGTTAATACAATTATTATTTAGGATTTAATGTTACTGAATTATACTTTAATGTTACATTAAATATACTTTAATGTTACTGAATTATACTTAATGCAGGGTTCCAACTCACTAACATAAATCAATGCTCATTTTAATAACAAAGTACAACAAGGAATTTTGATGTTAAAGGCCAATTTGGTGTTTAAGTATTTTTCATTTTTATGTTTTGCCCTCTTCTCAAGATCCTGACACTTGCTGGGTACAGTTCCACAGCCCATAACAGCCCTCCAGAACTATGTTTAAATGGTCATTTCTTCAGGTTTAACATTGACTACAGGCTGTTTAGTTGCACGTGATCTTGGCCTCCTCCAACATCTACAGTTTCTGCAGGATTTGACAGATAACTATCAGGAACGGGAAAGCTTCCCTTACTCAGCCCATTGTATCATCCCAACTGTGTCCATCTGAGGGCAGCCAACCTAGTGAAGACATAGATTACAGATCAGAGAGATCAATTGCAGCTCCTACAGTCCCAGGAGTGCCAGAAAGAGTGTAGCGGGCACTGCTGGGACTGCGATGAGGGCCAGGAGAAAAGGTGATATTTGTCAGACATGGTGAACCAGGGTTCCTTGAGGAGAGAAGGCCTGGGGGCCCTGGGAAAGGGAATGAGAGGATTGGGTCTTGGATGCAAGCAGGAAGGCACAAAGTGGGGAAGGGAGTATGATTTTAATAGGGGTATTCCCAATTTGCACAGTGTACTCTCTGAAGGAGGTGTGTCCCCTTCCTTCCCTCCCTTTCACCAACTTTGTTTTAAGATCAGCCTATCCACTCTCACCAGCCTTCCACTGCCCAGCATATAATGGCAGTGGAAGTGGATTGAGGCCTCTAATTGCCCTTTAATTGGGTAGCTAAGGGCTTCAATAGACCTAAGGACAGGCAGCTTAGTGAATGTCATGTTATGGGTAATGGGTCAGGAGTTGGCAGGAAAGCAGTAAGCTAATCACCTATCTACAATTGTTGTGCTGCCCAACTTAAACATGCCAGATTTAGTGGGGAGTTGGAGGTGGCCTTAAAATCCAGTCTCAAATTTGCGGCTCAGTATCCTATTAGGCAGTACATTTTGCCACTCAGCAAACAGAGAAGTTTTGGTAAAAGAGTTGGAGAAACAATCTCACCTTGCATTCGCTTATTAAACAAACTCTTTGAAGAAGTAATACATCAGCTTCAAACAGTTACATATTGTTGAATGTCATTGAACGTCAGTTCTTTGAGATAATAAGGATTGCAGATGCTGGAAGCCAGGGTCTATAGGTGGGATGCTGGAAAAGTTCAGCAGGTCAGACAGCATCCAGGGAGCAGGAAAGTCAACATTTTGGCCTGAAATGTTGACTTTCCTCCTCTAATGACAGCAGTGACAGACATGCTATGAGCTAAGGAGCCCCAATTATTGCCACATGTTTCTTCCTTCCTATCTTACCCTTCTTTGAAAGACTTTTCCTACAGCCCCATGCCTCTCATAATACATCCAGTCATCTCTATTCACCTATAGCTGTCATTTACCCAATACATATAAGATCTGCTTCCTTATTAACTCAACTTGAGCTCATTATAAAATCAATATGGACTTAACTGCTGGGCCCTCAGGAGGAAAGGCAAAAAGGTCACACGCAGAAACTTAAACAAACCCAGCACTGAGAAAAAAATGTTTAATTACCAACGTATTTACTTAGGACTGTCATATAGTGGAACTTTTGCACGTAATAATCAGAGGTCGAATGTATTGGATGCCTTCAAATAATGTGGAAATCAGACTCCGACATCATCTCCACATTCAAGCTATCTCCTTGAAACAGTTTCAGCAGTATTACAAATACAAATTTTAAACTAATTGACTTAGTCTTGTCATTGTTGCTCTTGCAATTTCTCTTAACGCTTTTGCTAATGGCGTAGATTTTGTTTAATGAGCACTGGCACAAATATTAGCGCTTAACTCTTTACTCCGAAGGTAAAGCCAAGTGTTCTTCCGACATTATCCCCATGATTGTCACTGGTACCAAAATGGGAGCAGCAACACTACAACATTCAGCTTGTCATTTAAAAAACACTGCAGCTGGATTTGCAGCGTGGAGCTTTCTCACATCTGATGTATAGAATAATTGCTTGCTTATTAATGTCAACTCTGTTTTTTCAAATCAAATTATCAGCTACACTTGACGCTTTTCTAGGAGAAATTGTTATTGGAACATTCGACTACATAGATCTCCTGTTCAAGTATTTTTTCCAGCCTATCACTTAGGATTATTATTACTATTAGGTCCATCTGATAAATAAAGCTAATCTATTTAAGGAACAGACTGCCTACTGCGTATGTATTCACCAGCCTCTGGTATTTTCCAATTTGAATGATAAATTGGTGACTCTAGATTACAACGAGATTGAAATTCCTGGTGATGTATGGTAATATGGGAAATAACAAGATTAATGAACATTAAAATATTTTCATTTTCAATACTATAAGAGGCCTCTGGCTCCTCTCACACACATATGCTAGTAGACAGCTCTCATGCATTGAATTGAACAGGAAGATGAGGCAAATTAAACTACAAGAAGCTCTTTACCATTAAATACAGAAATTCTACTGGTGAGTCTTAGTGCTGAGTTTATGGTCTTGTTTCTTTTAGATTTAATTCTGAGTTAGGTGTTAGCAAATGTACTTGTTATCACTGATGGTTTTTAGTGTGCTGTCCACATCTGAACAGTAGTGTTGCTTTTTTTTAAATATGTTATATACATATGTAGCTTTTCTTTCAAATTAACAGGTCAATTCTTTTGTAGCATCCTGGTGAAGTTCCCAGCACTGACTACCGTGATTTCCACAGAATGGTTAGAAAAGTGTGGTCCTTGTTTATCATTCAGCGCAATCAGACAGGAGAACAGAAGTGCAGACTCTTATCTTAGTAACTCTTTGTTCTATTGGAAGTTCCTTGGGTTTGTGGGCCGAATCTATCAGTCGAAGGAACCACCGTTGAATGCTGGTTCATCTCTGGCTCCAAATCGTTCCCTTTGCTGATGAGACATTTTCACAAATGTTCAGCTCTAATCCTCACTCGGAAACATAAATCATTTGAGCATGTGGAAATGTTTTTGGAGACCAGTGAGGTTCATATAAAGTAAGTAGGCACATATTCCTGTAGCAAAACCTCCTGACCTTCTGAAAATTTTCAGTCTGAGGAATAATTGTCTATGGTGCCCACTAATCCCATCAGAATGATTAATGACCACCTGGTTTGTGACCTGGCTTGGGAAGACTATAAGATATCGGAGCAAAATTAAGCCATTTGGCCCATTGACTATACTCCATTGTTTGATCATGGATGATATGTTTCTCAACCCCATTCTCCTGCCTACTTCCAGTAATCTTTCATTCCCTTTACTAATCAAAGACTCACCTTTGATCATCGTACTAATCAAAAAAGACCCAGGAATTGCAATTTATTATAAAGGAGCCAAGTTGATAGTCAGAGGAACCTCCCTGTCTCTTTTTCCTTCAATCCAGCATCATAGGTCAGGTCTTAGCACTCAAACAATCAAACGAGCAAGGGGTTAAATATAAACTAAGTGATACATTGAGACTGAAGTGTCTTATAGATATCCATAATAACACTGTCATTATTTTATGAGTTTCCTTCTGTTGAATTAATACTGTTTTGTTTTCTCATTAGATGTGCCCTTTAGAAAAGTAAATTGGGTTTCACCATTGACAACAGAGGAGGAGCCAGTAAAAAAAAGGTTATGGATTGTCAGAGAAAAGGAGGCAGTGTTAGTTGGTCTTGTTTTTGATAAGTTATCTCCAGTCACAGACACATCTGAAAGGAATGGAGGCTAGACTGAACCAAACTACAAATAATGTTCCATTACAAAATAATGCCTGGAAGTACAATGGATGCTGAAATGACAAGGAAATAATTGCCATGTCTCCTGTTTGTTTGGTGGGTTCAGATACATTCATAGGGTCTGAATAGCTTTCCAAGCTCTGGATAATTATTACCTGGTAGGCGTTCGTGGCATCTGAACTGGTGGTGGCATCATGTCCCAGTGTGCCCAGCTTTGCCTTCAGTTTCTCATGAGAACGGTGCCTGAGGCAGTAGATGACCCCTGATGCAATGAGAACCCCAATGATGCAGACGATGGAGATTATTGTTAAGATAATAAATTTGGTCGAGTCCTCTTCGTTGGCTTGTTGGGGAAAAGCCAGTAGTTTGCTCTTCTGAAGGTGGGGGACAGGAAGAGGAAGAAGTCGGGGAGGGGATGGAGAAAGAGAAAACAGTGTTAAATTTATTTTGTGGGAGTAATTTTTTTTTCTCTGTAAACAAACATTGCATTGGTTGCTTTTTTTTTGCTTGTCCATACCCACTGCGAGATTATACAGCAATTCATCCATGTCAGCCTTCATTATTAGGTATATTAGTAACAATTTAGTAAAAAAAAAAATGCAGATGAAAAATAAGAGAGCACATAATAGGGGCAAGCTGCATTTCTGCAGCCCTTCTTTGCAATCGCCGGCCCCGTTGTGGAAGATGGGGAACAATTAGCACTTTTGCTGGTACCTATTTTCACTTGGTTACAAATGGAATTTTTAATTTAACTCCTGAATACTTAGCCAACCTATTCATTATCTCCACTATTCTGTTAGTAATTTTCTGCTCAGCATTCAAGCAGCCAACGTCTAATTTACGTTTGTAAGCAATGTATAGAGAGCTGGTTGAAGTCCAGTCCATTTCAGTCCTTTTACACTATACAGGCCACTGAGCAATTATCAGTCGGCTATACAGTCGGAGTTTGTCCCTAATTAGCCCTCTTGTCTTCAGTCCACTGGATTAGCTGCTGCTGAGGCACAAGTTAATGGGGAGCTCAAACTAAATGAAAGCTCCAAGATCTTCCTGCTTTGACTATGCACCACAGAGAAGGATTGTGAAGCGTTGTCACCCCCGGGAGGTGGATTGACAGCGGCCTGGTGCTAAGCCATGCAGAATTGCTTTTTTTTAAAAAAATAAAAGAAAATGTATCTGTGTTAGAAATCCCGCTTCACGAGTATTATTCTACCAGTTATATATATAAAAAAATATGAAATCTTTGTTCTTGGCCATTTACTGAATGATTTGCAAAGCAAAACGCTCTCTTAAAGCATAAAAAACCTAAAACGCATTTATACATTTTGCTTCAAAGTTCTTTGTTCTTGCAGTTTTTCAAAGGAAGAGATAACTGTATCTGTTAATATGGATGATTAAAATGAGAAGAGCAGGCTTCTGTGTGCAATTTTATGAAATTTTGAATGATTTCTGTCCATTAGAAGATTTGCCTGGTTGACTTGCATACATCTGGAACAGCCAAAGTTTTGCTATAAAAGGCCTGAATTAGTGCTGTCAGTCTTTCCCTTTGAGCAGCCTTCATATCACTCTCAGTAATGCTGAATACTTAAATTATTAGGGTTTTTGAATAGTGGGCGTGGAGAGAATCCCTTTTTGCGGTAGTTTCAAATGATTTTGTATCAAGCTAGCATGGGCTTAATTAGATATTCTTACTGAACACATACAAAGAGAATAAAATTCCAAGTGCTTTAATTTTAAAAATTTTAAGAACTTTTTCTAAACAAATCTATCTGGATAAAGGCGAACGAAGAGCTGCGATCCTACGATAAACATCATGTAGGGATCTGTTGATTTTTCTGTCTCTAACAGCATATCCTGCCTTCCTTTTAAAGGCCTGATTCAGCTCCTGAGTGGTTGATGTTCTTTGGTTAAAGGATGTCAGTGCTTTGTGTAAGAAGTGATGAAGAGGGTTCTTATGTATTTTAGCAACAGACTCAATTCAGTCAGTTTACCCTCCAACGTTTGAAAACAGTATTGAATAAAAGATTTGATCTTGATCTAGACGTCATTAAATCATTTCACTTAATGTAAATTAAGATAGGTGTTTTATTTCCTACTTTTTATTATGTAGTAATATGTACAAGTGTTTGATGGTAAGAGTTTAAAGATGTTTTATGGATAGTGCACAATTTGGAGTTCAGTTGGACATCATTGTATGAAAGATGTAGTAGACTATAAAATGATTTTTACAGCCAGTCTTCACTCCCTGATGGAGTATCATGGAGATTAATATAGACTGGACTGATTTTTCAGCACTTCATTCTTTTGCTGAAAGAAAATAACAAGAGAGGTTTGTGTGTTTCTTTTGTACTTAAATTACAATATACTTGTAATTTGTATAAACAATTGGTTTATATGAATAATGGCGTTTGAAACTCATGAGAATTTCTATTACTTTCCTTTTGTGATTTGCAGAATTATATCACCCAGAAAATAAAAACCAATGTGATGACTTTCTACATGGGATCAGAGATTTCACCCTGGATGCTGAAAAGCCTGAGTTAAGAGTAAGCCAATAATTTGTATTTAAGGATCTCACCATTGTAACTGTCTATCTTGCCCTGAATTCTTTCAATTTCAATTTAAGATTGGCATGTTTTTCTTTATGTTTTTTTTTAAATTGAAAACTGTACATAAAGATATTTAACTGGGCATTTAAATAAAAAACTTATTTAATTCTGGTCAAGGCTCACTGCTGCTTTTCATTCCTGGAATTGGAAGCTAAATTGTCTATGAATTAGGTTTTTAAATTTAGTGAACAAAATTTTTTAAAAAAAGTGTTTCAGGGATCTAATCTCTAGCATGAGCTTTTGTACAATTGCATATTTCATCACAAAACAAAGGAAATAGCAGGAGGTCAGCACTGCCAGCGCTACAGTTTTGATGAATGTTTTAAGGAACTGGAGCAGAAACCAAATTGTTTTTTTTAAAATGTGAGAGGAATTCAATGGTGTCCAAAAAGGATTTAGTAGGGAATATATTTCTTCTAAAAGTGGTGAGTCAGGAGTGAAGAAAATGCAATATTGAAATTAAAGAGTTGTAGGCCATCAAAGAAATGAGGAAGCTCTTCCTTGCACAAGAGGAATTAGAAATCTGGAATTCTCTATCTCAGATCATTGTTGGAAGCTGATATAGTTGGAGCTTTCAGTACTGAGATCCAGACATTTGTACCGGGTAAGGGTAGCAATAGATATGGCTAAATGAAGTTGAGGTGCAGATCACTACGAGCCTAAACGAATGGTGGCTCAGGTTCATGGAACTGAATGGCCTACTCCTGGTCCTATGTTCAACCAGCCCAGGCACCTCCAAGTACAGTTGCAACATTAATGGTCACTATCTTGGGCCCATAGTCCAACCTCTGGGTGAAATCCCACACTCAGGCAGAGACACGTGGAATTATTCTTCTTTATAGCAAAAATACTGCAAAAATAGCAACAAACTACACAAGGACTGACCAGCAGCAGCACAAAAGGTCACAAGTTAAATGTATTAATTCTACAAGTTTAGATTATTTTCCTGTTTTCAGAGCAAGAAAGCTCTCCACCTACTTCTGTGCAGATATTTGATCCCAGTCTCAGAGTCCTTTAATACACTTTTACAAAATCCATGGTCCCCGCCACTTCTTGAGAGAGACAGAGGGTGAACATGATGTGTTCACTGGATTTGTGTAAACTTTTTTGTCACTGCTGTGTAGGTTTCAATGAATTAATAAATTAAAGCCTTAGTGGTGCTGTAATTCTACTCCAGGATGAAGCAAACAGTCCAAAAGGGAAGCCCAAAAGCATTTTCACTCCCTCCCTTTCCCCATCAATATTTAAACTTTTGTGCACTGTTCTTTAAAAAGGGGGAAAAAATATTAAATGCATTCGATCAAGCAGAAATAATCATGTATTAGCACTTGACATTACGAAATCCTTTCAAAAAGATATTACTAAAACATGAGGCATTGTTATTTAAAACTGCAGGAGAGGAAAAAAAAGCTTTGTGCCTCTGAAAACCATTGTCCCTCCATATCACTGGAAATTGTACTTGCAAATTTATCATTCATTGCAGCCAAAGAGATAGACCAGTTAATATTTAAACCATCTTCTTCAATATAAATTTATATTGAATCGACAGTTGTGGTGGCATGCCATATGATATAGAAATCTGTAAAGTTAATTTTCTATTTTTCTTCTATGTATCACCTCTGTTATTAATCTCTCCAAAAAAAGAAACTTTCAGACGTTACCATGGTGCGTATCACACAAGCACAATAACTGGAGATCACTCTCAGTGTTCTGCTTTATTTTCTAAGTAAGTTTTTGCTTTTGCGTTCAAAAAAAAATGAGGCACCAATTTATCAATCGGAACCGAGTAGGATTTAGTAGTTTTACCTTTTCAAAAACAAAAAAAAATCTAACAAGACAAGGGATTTAAAGACATTTATTCTCTTGAGTGCGAGTATAAAGGATTACAGAAATCAAAAAGACAAAGGGCAGAAGGATTTTTGGAGGTTTGGCTCATTCAAATCACTGAGAAAGGTCATAACGAAAGGCACAGACCTATTCATATGAAGAGACACAGTGATCTTTCAGTGACCTTAACACCAAGCCCACATCATCAGTAAATGGAAAAATGATACTATATCTGCCGTTTATTTTTTGTGTTTTGTTTCCTGACCATCTAAACTTTTAGATATTGTTTGGCTCCACCTGGACAAAGAAAATATTACAGAGGAATCAGTGATGTGTGTCTATTAAGGTTATCTCTTTCTTAATGAACCAAATAGATTGCAAATTTCGCTAATATTTTCAAACCTACTTTTAAGGTCTTTTTGAAATGCAGTTTCAGCCTTCCTCGAACCCCACTCCTTCCCAAACCTCCCACTGCCAACTGACTGAAGCAAACTTAATGAAAATAAGAGCCCTACTATCAATAAGCTCTCTCACAAGCCCAAATATTCCAAATCTGGAGGACCTACTCAAGGCAATTCACACTAACCAGCGACAATTCAAAGAAAGTTACTGTTGCTGAACTGGCACATCTTAAGAAAAAAAAGATGCTGCAAGAAAAATACCTTTCAAAAAAAACACAAAGCAATTAGGACTAAAGGGTCCTCGCAGTTAAATAACTAAAAAACCAAGTCAATCTGATCGTAAGATGTAACAAGTTTACATACCTGATTCTATTTCTATTGTTTTTCTTTTCCATCTCAAAGATTTTCGGTTACTATCCTTTGAACAGAATGAAACAGGGGAGAAATACTTGACCTAAATGCCTCATTCTTCTTTGCTTCTTGCAGTTCTGGCTTCAGATATTAACCGTCTACCATCCATCTTTCACAGGACTGAAATCA